TCCTCCCTTTCGTCGGTTTTTTTTTTTTTTTTTTTTTTTTTTTTCGGCAGCCAGTTCTCCTTCAAGTTGTGCCGCTCCTCACAGTTGCTACTTGACACCTTCCTCCTTCCCGTCAATGTCGTCGTCCTCAACCCTCCCTTTTCTTCCCTCGCCTTGTCTGTCGCGCTACTCCTTTCACCTGCTCTACTCTTATCGCGATCCTCCTCCGGGCAACTCAACTATGAATCTTCCCCCGCGCTAAGGAAGATTCGTCGCCAGAAAGAGCCAACGAAACAAAAAGGGGCATGGAACCGACGCGGCTATGTACTTGTATCCGAACATTCCAGATGCGAGCACTTCCCGAGTGCCGCACCGCCCACCAGTACCCCCACGGTTTTCGGCTCCTTCGGTACCGCCTCCCCCCGATTTTTCTTGGGCCCGCGGCCAGCATAACGAGATGCCCTCTTCTACTTTTAGTACGATTAGGGATGCGGGCCCAGCGTGATGCGGGGCCCGCTTTCACTTTTAGTAGTCTACATCAAACGAAGGGTAAGGGTAGGGGTATAAGTCGCTCAGGCCAGTCCGAGTTCCGCCTGGCCTTGGGTTAGCTAGGGGAAGGACGGTAAGTCTGCTTCATTGGGTGCTACCCTGTCTGAAACCTAGGGTCCAGAGTCTCTTGGGGCCTGTAGTAGATTGTCTGGGCCTGGCGTCCGAAGTTCCTGTTCGACAAGGCTCGTCCGATTCCGCTTCCACCAGGGCTGGGCAACCTATCAGCCCTGGTGCCTACCACTGCTGTTCGGTCCAAGTTACCTGGCAGTGCCCATTGGTAGGGTAATGGTCCTGAGTGCAGGTCACACTGAGGTAGGATAGTGGGATAGGGGGTGCGCTAGGAGTATTGGCGTGAGGATGGGATGGGAGGTGGTCCCATATTCCAGGACACCCACGGCCTACTGCTCCAGGTGATCACTGTGTAGTCAGTGACTGGCCTCTACAACACCATGGACTTAAAAATTAAGATCTGATGTATCACACTCTTACACTCCATCATAAATATTAGCAAACAATATACAAATACTTCACCTTCCATACCGCCTGCCACAACTGACAGACGCATAATGGTGCTAGATAAGGAGTATGGCAATTGAGGAACTTGGTGTGAACCAACCCTGACTTGGAGGGCTATGTATCTCTTGTTCTCCGCTTTCTTGTTCTCTTTACGACTATGACTCTCGTCGGAAGTTAATTACCTTTCAAGTTCAAAAGTCCGAAGCTAATGATGACCTTTGAAAGTCAAAAGTCCTTAAACATACCAAAGAACTTCTTGCTTTCAAGGTTTCAAGGCAATAAGAAAGGAATGCAAATAATATTTCTTTAGAAGTTTAGACCACTGGTACCTGAGAGCCAGGTGTGGACGTTAACGCACATGCCTCTCAGGAGCGTATGGGCCTGCCTGCACCCTGTTAAATTCGAATGCGGTCAGAGGCCTCCGGGAGGATGAAGGGCGGGTCTCATTTACTAACGGTTTAACTTTGTTTGTTTCACTGTTGAGCTTGCGATGATATCTTTGACTTTGACATCTAGATTACAAATGTCCATACACATTTACTTTCTTTCTTTTCTTTTTCCGTCTTTCTTTCTCTGTCTGCCTGTCTTACCTGTCTGTCTGTCTGTCCATCTCTGTCTCTCCTTTTTGTTGTGAGATGAAGGGGCCAGCTCCTACTAACTATTGTATCCATCTGGCTACATGAGGGACTCAATCTCCTGATCTGTTTACTAACAGCCACATGTGCTTACCATTCAACCACATGGGCTGTGTTGTCTGTCTGTCTGTGCTGGGCTTGCATTTCTCTCTTCGACAGGAGATGGATGTCAAGTTGACTCTCTCTCTCTCTCTCTCTCACTTTTAAATGGCATCCATCAATCCAGTGGGGAGTCATTTCAACTGTTGTGCACTACCTCGTGATGTCCATTGGTCGCCTCCATCTAAAACGAACAGACGAATGTCGTCTTGAAATGCATGACTTCAAAGACCAGCAAGTTGGAAAAGAGTAGACAGCACCGATACGATGGTGATCACAATCCGCTGATGTCATCTGTAGACAGTTGTGCAAGGGACAGAGCGAGGGTTTTGACGCCTGTGGCTATACTCTCCTTCGACGCAAATTCATTGGGTCGATGGCTGATTCCTCCTGCACAAGGAATGAAAATCATACCTGTAGGAACAATCTGTGCCATGAAAAGCGAGTCATGATAGGCACGGCTCACCATCAACTTGTGTTGCAATTGAAGAGTCCGTGCAGCGGACATCACCGAGTCCACTATCTTCTTGGAGCATAGGGCAGGGGGGTCCTTGTTCACCAACTTGATTTTGTGTCGAAGCTTTCGTCGATGAGCAATCTCCTCAACTGATTGCTTGATTCTGTCCAGCACTCGGTCTCGGCGAGCTCCGTCGATATCCCGCACATCAATCTCCACATGCGCTTTTCTAGGAATGCTGTTGATGGCTCCAGGAAAAATCTCAAGGACCCCTGTTGTCCCCACCGTATCAATGGATTTTGTCTCAAGCACTGCCGATTCGACCGCAAGCGCTAACTCGGCAGCTCCCAAACCAGCATCCTGCCTTTCTGGCATCAGAACCGTTCCAGCGTGGCCCCCATCCCCAAAGAATTCAACCTTGAGACTGGCCGGTGCAGCGATCGCTGTCACCACACCAATCGGAATTCCTTCGGCTTCCAGCAGTGGTCCCTGCTCAATGTGCAGCTCGACAAATGCAGCATAAGTGCCAGGTCGTAAGACGACCTCGTCGAGCTGGGCCATGCTCGAAGGATACCCTGCACGGGCAGCGGCCTCGTCGAAGGTGTTCCCTTGGTCGTCCTTCACAGACTCAAGGAACCTGCGAATGTCTGGGTGATTGGACATAACCCGGCTCCCCAAGCAACCTATTCCGAAGCGAGTAGGTTCCTCCGATGTGAACATAATGATGTCAATGGACCTCCTTGGTACAAACCCTGCCCTCTTCAGTGCAGCAACAGCTTCCAATCCTCCCAGGACACCGACCACTCCATCATACTTTCCCGAGAGCGGTATCGCATCCGTGTGCGATCCTGTTGCTACGGGAGGCAGATTTTCATCAATGCCCTTCCAACGACCGAACATATTCCCTATCGCATCTTCTCGGACGGTTAGGTTGATGGATTCCATCAGAGAACGAATGAACTGTCGAGCCGCCACATCCTCGGAAGTAAAGAGGACACGAGTAACCGCAGGAGCAGCAGAGACGGAGATAAGTGAAAGATGATCAATCTGTTCTTGCAAGCGATCAGCCTCAACTACAAGGCCGTCGGCAAGGACTGTCAATTGCTGTGAAGTCCAACCCACCCCACCAAAGCTGGCGCCTTCTTCAAGCAAATACGACGAATCTGGTCCAGGACAGCTCTGACTTGCCAAGGTAGCTGAAAGCGCATGACTCATCAGAAGCACGAGAAGCAAGAAGTACTTCAACACCACCATTATGTTGTCGGGATTCCTCTTCGCATCCATTACATGCAAGTGGCTGAGCATTATCAGCCGTCGATGCTCGTAATACGAAAGGACCATATGCCGCTGTCCGCAATAGCTAGGTGACATTCCGGTGGCAGCAGAGTCCCTCCTAGCCTTGAAAGAGGAAGATATCTGTGAGAGGACCATATATTGTTCCCTTTCCCCCCGTCCACAAGTTCTTTTCTTTCTTTCTTTCTTTCTTTCTTTCTTTCTTTCTTTCTTTCTTTTCTTTTCTTTCTTTTTCTTTTACTTCTTTTCTTTCTTTCTTTCTTTCTTTTTCTTTCCGTTTTCCGCCTCCTTCCACAGCTTCTTGAAGAAGAAGACTACAAGGAATGCATAACTGGAGTCCTTTTTTAAATTTTTTAAAAAAGTGGAACCTCCTCTCTTAAAAACACAGTTCTGCTTTCACACCGTCATCATCTCAGTCTGCCATTGTTATACCCCCTCGTTGCCCTTGATGCTTAGTTTCTTTTTTTCCCCCTTGTAAATTGAAGATATTCCTTTTTTGGAAGTTTTTCAATCCTATAAAGTTATAAACAGCCCAACAAAGCCTTTGGTGGAGTTAAGAACAAAACAAAGAGGCCCACAATTGAGGAAGAACCCTTTTCCTCTTGGAAATAAAAGTTGTTTCCCCTCTCTGGGAGGAGAGCTCCTCGTTCAACTTCAGTTTGCACTGGAATAGTCTTTCTGCAGAAAAAGAAAAAAGCACACACACACACACACACACACACACACACACACACACACACACACACACACACACACACACACACACAGAAAGAACTGCTCTTTCAACTTCAATAAGTTCAAATTGAGAAAAGAAAAACAAAACCAATCAGAACAAAACAAACAAACAATAAAAAAACAGACCATTTCTCAATTTATGTGTGTCATCCTCGCGCAGGGGCCTTGCTAATCTTCTTTCTCTGTCTCGTTCAAGTTTTAACGGATGTCCCGAAGGACATGAAACTTTAATTTCTTTGGAGTGCAAACTTTAAACCACCACTACCTTTCACAGTCAAACTCGAAACGTCCTGAGAATGCAGTACAACCTGAGGCCGGGCGCCACCTGACAAAAATGGCTGGCAGCGCCAACCACAACAAAACAAAAAAAAGCCGCACTGCCGCTCAGGCAAAGCTTGGCGCGCAGTTCTTTTCCACCTTTGCCAAAAAAAACGGAGGAAGTGGTGGTTTAAAAATTAAACACGTACAATTTTCCATATTTCTTTCCCCTGCTGCTCTTTTTTTTCCACCTCTGCTGTTGTTGTTGTTGTTGTTGTTGTTGTTGTTGTTGTTGTTGTTGTTGTTGTTGTTGTTGTTGTTGTTGTTGTTGTTGTTGTTGTTTCTGCCAGTGGAAGACTTCTTGTTGTTTCCGCCAGTGTGAAACGGTTTTCACCTTTTGCAGTCACAGATGCGGATCCCAGGGCTCAATATCCAGACCTTACCTTACCTTACCTTACTTACCCGTGTACAGTATCAAGTCGACCCTGTGTGTTAGTAGTTGAAAGTTGTCTGTCGTAGGTCTGAGTAGTAGTCGGGTCTTGAACCTTAGACCTGTCGAACTAGGGGTCATACCTGCATAGGGGTCATAGATGTTGTACTTCTGAAAGGTCAAGGTCGTAGCTGCTAAAGTCCTGAAAGGTCAAGTCCGCAAACTTCCGGAAGGTCCGGAAGTGGCCTTTCAAGTTTCTTCTCACGTTAGACACAGCAGACCAGAGGCAAGTGGGCAAGTGGTGAGTCCAACTTCGCTTAGTCAGCGGTACCCAGTCCCAGTCTCACTTTGTACAGTCAGCAAGTACCATGAGGGACTGTGTGCACCATGGGCCCGGTGGAAAGGGGCAGACCAGCGACTTACAGAAGTATAAATCAAGAGGCAGCGTCCAGCCATTCATTCATTCCTGCGTAAGCCATGCGGAAGCGCTGCCAGGCGACTTGTGCGAGGTGGTCTGCAGATGCCCGAAGTCGAAGTGGGCTGAAGGGAGATAGTTTGCCCATAGCCAGCAGTTGTAGAGCGGCCATGGCCGCTGTAGCTTAGTGATAAACAACAGTGTGTGTGTGTGTGTGTGTGTGTGTGTGTGTGTGTGTGTGTGTGTGTGTGTGTGTGTGTGTGTGTGTGTGTGTGTGTGTGTGTGTGTGTTTTATACTCAGTTGTGTGCGTGGGATATCCAGGGATATCCTGAGTCGAGTGCACGTGAACAGTTGGTTGAACACAGTGGCAACAGAGGATGTGAGGGCGCTCAGGCGCCATAGCTGATTGGAAGCGAGTTTGTATCTGGACTGTGTTCGCGGCTTGATTATTTCTGAGCTTTGTGTGGGCGCACAGCGCCAGTGTGAATTACCATCTGTTCGCATGTTGCGAAGTGAAGAAGAAAGCGAGTCTGACTGCATTGATATCGGAGCAAGTTCCAGCTATTCCACGCGCCATCTCCATTGCCAGCAGGAAGGAGGAGCGCGCCAGTGGGGATCCATAGCAGAAGTGCGCCATCGAAGAAGAATGTCCGCCATAGCTGCGCCGTTGAAGAAAGGTGCCGTGTACCTGTAAAGAAGACAACAACGGAAGAGAGAGAGAGAGAGAGAGAGAGAGAGAGAGAGAGAGAGAGAGAGAGAGAGAGAGAGAGAGAGAGAGAGGAGCGATACAAGATTGTTGTGCGGTCCAAGAAAGAAAGAAAGAAGGTGGCGGCCATAGCCGCCGAGCTCGGACACGGAGTGAACGAGGGAGAGACGAAGAGGAAGGGAAAAGTCATAATCAAATTGTAGGAAGGAGGGAATGCGAAGGAGGAGGAAGCCATAGCCCAGGAGAAGTGAGAAAGAAGACGAAAGAAGGAAGTAGGGAGGAGAAGAGAAGTGAAGGTTGGTGAGAGAGAAGAGGTCGGCAGCCATAGCTAAGTTGAGCGTTGACTAAGGTGTTGACCGGGAAGTCAACCGGAGTTGACCGGAGCATTGGCTGGGGAGTTGATTGAGGTTGACCAGAGTGTTGACTGATGCATTGACCAGCATTGACCAGAGTGTTGAGCGGTGTTGACTGATGCATTGACCAGCGTTGACCAAGGCGTTGACCGGAGCTGTTGACCACGAAATCGACCAAGTTGGAATCGGTATATTCTTGCCAAGCCTTTAGCCTATCCCCTTGCCCTATGGATGTGCACTCACCCCATGGTACTTGTTGAGTCCGTCTGTCTCTTCTTTCTGCATTGAGTCTCTTCTGTCTAGGTGATAGGAACTTTGTGTATGAGGTCGTAGAGCTGTGTTGACCAAACCCACAAGGGATGAGTAGGGCTAAAGGCCGTGTCTGACGACTGACTGACCCGGAGGACAAACCCTCCCAAGGACCGGTACAAACCTGCGGGCTGCTCAGTGTGGCATGGTAGGCCCAAAATCCGAGTTGTTGGCTGCACAACCAGTTGTCTAAGTATTGAGAGAGCTCTGCTGATCGCGTTGTCCTAACTGCGACGTTAAAGAATTCTTGAGGAGTTACGGGGGATCTCCTTAAATGCCTCCTAATCAGTAGTAGAGCTATGTAGTGGCCGGTGCTGGAGCAAGGTGGTGCAACTCTTTAACCCAGCCTGATGGGAGCATGAGGCCTGGAAGAGCTTCGGTTCGTGCTGAAAATGACCATGCTGGCGGTGGTCGAAGGTGGATTGAATAGGTTTCACCTATCTGATTCGTGGTTGGGAGGCTTGTTGACACACAATTTCTGAATGTTTCCGAGTTTTCCTTTTCAAAAAAAAAAAAGAAAACAAAAAAAAAAGAAAAAAAAAAGAGCTATGTAGTGACAGCCTTAGAGTAGGTCAAGGCTAGTACCCTAGTTGACAAGGTCCTGATCCGGAGAGAAAGCCAGGTGGGATTGACCGCAGGTGCAGGGCATCTGGGTCTAGTTTGTAAAGGACAGTGGTGGCGAAAGCTTCCGTTGGCCGTGGTAACTTGGCTGGATCGAAGGATAAGGCTCTATGGTCCTTAGAGAGTCAGTCAGTTAGTTAAGTCAGTCAGGGGTTGGAAGTCTAAGTGGTGAGGAGTGAAACTATCACTTGGTTGTACATCTGACACCATGGTTGACCTGCGTAGTGGTAAGAGCACCACCCCGTACACCAAAGAGCAAGAAGAGAAGGCCGCCGCCATCCTGAGAGAAAAGAAGGAGAGGATGGAGAAGAGGGAGCTTATTAAGTAGGCGAAGATGCTGGCCTTGATGGAGGAGCAAAAGGCCAAGCAAAAGCAAATGGAGGAAGAACTTCAGAAGTGGAAAAAGGAACAGGAGGAGAAAATGGCGGCAATAGAGTTAGAGACAGAGGAAGAAGAAGTAGAGGTACCACTGGGAAGGAGAGGAAGGACAGGAGAGAGAGGGGAACCCAGTGGGGCGTGGGAGACAGAAGCCCAGATGGAGGCAGAAGCTAAGATGGAGAGGTTGGTGAACGAGTGGGTAGCCAACCTGGCCTTGGGGGAGGAGGACGAAGCATTGCTGTTTGTCCCTCAGGCAGAGCGGGAACAATTTGCTAGGGAATTGGAGGGTGAAGAAAATGCCGTGAAGCGACAAGCGATGGAGGAGGAGAAAAAGTAAGAGTGGAAACTCCGCCTTGCCCGCGAGAGGAAAAGAAGATTGGAGGCGGCCGAGAAAATGGAGGAGGATTTGAGGGCAGCCGAAGTAGAACATGGGAAGTTGGCAGCGCAAATAGATCTCCAAAGGAAGGTGGAGATCCTATCACAAAGTGTAGAGGTAATGTTGAAGGTGCAGCAAGAACAGTTGCGCTATTTAAAGGGTCACGATATTACTCTGCAATCTATGTGCACCCGTTTTAAAGATTTTGCAAAGGATATGATGATGCATGTAGGCACCGAATTGCGCACAATTATGGAGGGCACACCAAAGTTTTGCGTAGTTGCCATTGAAGGCGCCAAGATAACGGTCCCTAAAGAGGAAGAGGCTCGGCCACGTCGAGAGCGTGTGAAGGTCAAGTTCCCTGATCATTACAGTGGGAAAACTGGAAAGGATTTTGATAACCGGAAGGCCAATGTGAACTCCTATGTGCATCTCCAGGATATTGCGCCCGAGGACCAGGTCCTTGTGGCATTTCATGCCCTTAAAGATGAAGCAGCCAGTTTTGCCAGATCGTTAGCCCACGCTGCCAAATGCGAAAACGATATGGTCGCATACTCCATCCTTACCCCCCTCAGTGAATTCCTCAGCGCCCTGCGAGAGTGTTTTGCAGATGTCACCAGGGGCCTCAGGGCTTTTGACAAGTTGCAAACTGTCCACACGAGACAGTGGAAGAGTGCTATGGGGTTGAAGGCCACCATGGATGAGCTCGTTGTCGTTCCTGGCCATGGGGTCACTGAGCCCCAATTGATCCAATTGTTCTACCACGCTATGCCCGAGAAGTTGCATGGGCATTTCTTTGATAGGAAGCAGCAACCCAACATGACGTACGATACGCTGAGTAGGGAGGTTGTTGCCTTCGAGGCTCAGTCCATGCCAGTTACTGGACTTACCACTTTCTGGCATAGGGACCTCGCCAAAGGGAAAAAGTGGAAAGG